CCTCGTTCCTCAAGAGCTCCGAGTGCTGATGTTTCTCCAGTGAAGAGCAGCAGGATTCACAGCAGTCTCCTGATGTACAGCTCAATACTCAAGCAGTCTTTCAATGTGCTGCCATTGCTGTTCATTCAATAAAGCTTCTGAACGCCTCACATTTGTGTTCGAGTGCATCATTGATCAGTGTGTCCTTCCTTCACTAAAGTTTCAGCTGCTGTTGATGGATTGTAATAGTTGAGAACAGCTGCGTTTAGCAGTAAATGTGAACTGAAGCTCTTGGGGTTTGAACATGGTCTCTGGAGACGGAGCTGCTCTATTCTGAGACGATCAGAATCACTAAAGCTGCCAATGCAAATCTGATTTTCAGCTCAAACTCACAGTTTCACTGTTTGATCGGTTCAACGCTCTGAACTGGATCAGTTTCACTTCTGCTCATGCAGTGATGAGACTGTTATGAAGTTTGAGTGGTAGTTTTATAAGGAAAGTTTATTAGGGTACAGTATGATTGTAGTATAATCTACAAAAACAAAACTGGAACTGAAAAAAGTTTAATGTATTTTTTGTTTGATTTAAGTCAAACTCGTCTGTCAAAGGACAGATCACAGTCTAAAAGAGCTGATTTGACTCCTGACTCAGTTTTGAGCTCATGTGTAGTTCTGTGTTTGGTCTCTGTGTGTCAGTAGTGCGTGATAGTGTTTGAGCAGCTGCAGCATCAGTTCATCACTGTGACTCTGACTGATGGAGGTTTTTGTACCACTCTTTATCACTGTGTGAACACAACATCACCCACACAACTATTACTAGAATCTGTTCTGCAGTGAAAACTCTGACAGTAATAATGTCCAGCATCTTCAGTCTGGACTCCACTGATGGTCAGAGTGAAATCACTGTTAGATCCACTGCCACTGAATCTAGATGGAGTTCCTGACTGGAGGGTGCTTGTTCCATAAATCAGGAGTTTAGGAGCTTCTCCAGGTTTCTGTAAGTACCAGCTGAGACACTGCTTTCCATTACAACAGCAGGTAGGATCACTGTTAAATATACAGTTTACAGTGACTGATTGTCCAGTTTGAGCGAGCAGCACTGAGGGAGTTTGAGTCACTGTCACCTGCCCAATAGATTCTGTCAAATGAGAAAGATTAGAAATCACAAACACTTTTACAAACATATATCTTCACAACATGAAAATAACAAGTAAATAACCCAATTAATCCTTCCAGACACAAACCTTGACATAATACTGTCAGAGTCCAGATCAATATGGTGATGAAAGCCATTTTTGTTGGTTGTAAGTTCAGTTCTAGTGAAAAACAGTTGTTGATCATGTTTCATGTTTGTCAGAGTTATAAACACATGCAGAGCACTGAAGCGTGTGTCGCTCATGTAAAACACACTCTCTATGCAAACACTGCAGCAGTGAACAGGTATAAGTTGGTTTAATGTGCTGTTTCATTGAACAGGACAATAAACTGAGGTCACTGGAAACCTCACTGACAGATGTGCTGTTGTGTTCACAATATAACTGACACAGTTTTTTAAAATGAAACTATCTGAACCAAGCAATCATAGCAATAAAATGGAAGTCACAGACTGATTCTATAACAATGTATTCAGAAGATGAGGGTGGTTCCACGCAAGTTGTAATAACTAAATAAAGTACAAATGTAAAACTGATATAAAAACAAATTTGTTGATGCAGCCGTGCTATTTTAACTTCCTTATAAATCAAAACTCTGTACCTGTAAATCATACTTTGTGTGAAAAGGAATAAAAGGTGTCAGAGTTTTACTGCCTCTAGTGTTCATTTCAATTGGAAACTGCAGTGGTTCATACATACTGGTACTCAGTTTTGCAGAAATATATGTAGAGGCACTTATTTCTAATGAGCCTATGTTGGAGACTCTGATTGACTGTTTGTCAAGTTGTTGCTCTCGACTAACGGTTTAAGCTCTATGATGAGTGACAGATTAATTTAGATTGTTTTTTTCCAGATGCATGTGTGACGATGATGTATCACATCGTCATGAGCAGCTGCAGCATCAGTTCAGTCACTGTGACTCTGACTGACGGAGGTTTTTGCACGACTCTTTATCACTGTGTGAACACATAATCACCCACACAACCATAAGAATTTGTTCTGCAATTAAAACTCTGACAGTAATAATGTCCGGCATCTTCAGTCTGGACTCCACTGATGGTCAGAGTGAAATCACTGTTAGATCCACTGCCACTGAATCTAGATGGAGTTCCTGGCTGGAGGCGGTTTGCATAATAAATCAGGAGTTTAGGTGCTTCTCCAGATCTCTGTAAGTACCAGCTGAAATAATAACTCCCTCCCCAAAGGAGTGCATCTTTGTTGGTTCTACAGCTGATTTTGACTGTTTCTTCTGGTTGAGCTGCTGTCGTTGAGGGACTCTGAGTGACGCTGATCTGTCCTCTACTCTCTGAAACACACAACAAGAAGAAAATCAACTCAAAACTCTGACATTATACTTGAAGAAATGAATTCATATCAAACTTGTGCTCCACAAACCTTGAGCAAACGCTGTGAGAGTCCAGATGAAGATGATGATGAAGGTCATGTTGATGAAGATTGTTGTGTGTGTCAGTGATGAAGTGTTAAACTCACAGCACTATAAACACTCTCAGAGCACTGAAGCATCTGATCAATATGCAAATGAACTGATCCTGTATTTAAATTAGCTTCTAAATGAAGTTTGCTCATTCATTTCATCCTGTCAGTTATTGTATCTGCACATCACACTGTCTAATCTTTGTTTTTTACAATTATTTTGACTGTCGGTTTATTACAGGATTGGACTATAATTATGGATTTATTAATAACTTTAAACATTTGGATTATTCAAGGTTTTTGTACAT